GTCCAGCACAAACCGCTGCACCTGAACAACCAACGAGACTATGGGAGACCACCGCACCAGAGCGGCCAGCTACTCCAGCACAAACTTTTGCACCAGAACAACTAACATCACCGAAGACCAGCCAACGAGAGCAGCCAGCTACCCTAGAACAAACCTCTGCAACAAAACTGCTAATAACAACACCGGAGACAACTGAACCAAAGCAACCAGCTACTCCAGCACAAACCGCTGAACCTGAACAACCAACATTGCCGGACACAAAACTACCGGAGGAGCCAGCTACTCCAGCACACACATCGAAACCTGAGAAACTACCAACATCACCGAAGACCACTGAACCAGAGCAGGCAGTTTCTCCCGCACAAACTGCTGCACCTGAACAACCAACATCTCAGGAGACCGGCACACCGGAGCAGGCAACTACTCCAGAACAAACCAGTGCACCTGAAAAACCAACAAACCCACGGGAGACTACTGAACCGGAGCCGCCAGTGACTCCAGAAAAAACGTCTGCACAAGAACAACTAACATCGCCGAAGCCCACCCAACCAGAGCAGCCAGCTACTCCAGCAGAAACTCCTGTAACGAAACAACTAATAGCATCACCAACGACAATTCAACCAGAGCAGCCAGTTATTCCAGCATACACGGCTGCATCTGAACAACCAGCATCGCAGGAGACACAAGAACCAGAGCAACCAGCTATTCCAGTTCAAACCTCTGCACCTATACAGCCCAGATTATCCCAGGAGACCACCGAACCGAAGCAGTCAGCTACTCCAGCACACACTGCGGCACCTGAACAGCCAACGAACACACGAGAGACCGTCGCACCGGAGCAGCCAGCTACTGCAGCACAAACATTTACACCAGAACAACTAACGTCACTGAAGCCCACCCAAACAGAGCAGCCATATACCCCAGCAGAAACCTCTGCAACAGAACAACTGATAGCATCACCAAAGACAATTAAAGCAGAGCAGCCAGTTACTCCAGCACACACGGCTGCATCTGAACAACCACCATCCCCGAAGACACAAGAACCAGAGCAACCCGCTACTCCAGTGCAAACCTCCGCACCTATACAACCCACATCATCCAAGAAGACCGCCGAACCGAAGCAGTCAACTACTCTGGCACAAACAGCTGCACCTGAACAACCAACGAGCACACTGGAGACCACCAAACTGGAGCAGCCAGCTACTCCAGCACAAACATCTGCACCAGAACAACTAACATCACCGAAGTCCACACAATTAGAGCTTCCAGCTACTTCACCACAAACCTCTACACCCGAACAACTAATAACATCACTGAAGACAGCTGAACCAGAGCAACCTGTTACTCCAGCGCACACGGCTGCATCTGAACAACCGTCATCCGCAGAGACACAAGAACCAGCGAAAGCAGCTGCTCCGACACAAACCTCTGCGACTGAACAACTTATAACATCTACGAAGACCAATAAACCAAAGCAGCCAGCTACTCCCGTACAAACCGTTGCACCTGAACAACAAACCGCACAACAGGAAATAACTCAACCAGAGCAGCCATCCACACCAACACAAACACCTGAACAAGAAAAAACAATATCACCGAAGCTTAACGAACCGGAGCAGCCAGCTACTCCAGCACAACCTACTCCACCAGAACAACCATCAACACTGCCGAAGACCACTGAATCAGATCAGCCATCTACTCCAGCACACACCTCTGCACCTGAACGACCAATAACATTACCGAAGACAACTGAACCAGAGCAACGAGTTACTTCAGAACATACCGCTGAATCTGAACAACTGACAACATCATCGAAGACTACTGAGCAAAAGCAGCCAGCTACTCAAGCACAAACCGCTGCACCTGAACCACGAACAGCACATCAAGAGACAGCTGAACCAGAGCAGCCAGCTACTCCAGATCAAACACCCGCACCAAAACAACTAACATCATCAAAGATCACCGAACCTGAGCTGCCAGCTACTCCAGCACAAACGTCTGCACCAGAAAAACCATTAACATCGCAAAAGGCCACTGAATCAGAGCAGCTACCTACTTCAACACAAACATCTGCACCTGAACAACAAACGAACTCACCGAAAACGACCGAACGAGGGCAACCAGCTAGTCCAGCTCAAACATCTGCCCCAGAACTAACAACATCACCGAACACCAACCAACCGGAGCAGCCAGCTACTCTAGCACAAGCCTCGGCAACAGAGCAACTAATAACATCACCGAAGACCACCGAAACAGAGCATCCAGCTATATCAGTGCAAACCATTGCACCTGAACAACCAACTGTTCAGGCGACACCTGATTCAAAGCAGTCAGCCACTCAGGGACCCAGCGCTGCAGCTGGACAAAAAACAACGCGATATAAGACCACTGAACCAGAGCAGCCGGCTACTCGAGCGCCAACATCTGCCTCAGAACAAATAACAACACCGAAGACAACCACCATCTCGGAGCAGTCATCCACTCCAGCGCAAACCGCTGACCCTGTGGAAATAACATCACAGCAGCAACTGGCCTTGTTATCGACAGTTGTCCCTTATCGGCCAACTTCCTCGGAGCCAACACCCGCTTCCCAGTACGGAAACATTCCCACTGAACATATTTTAATTAAGAAAATTGTAAAGAACATAATTAGACCTCAGCCAATGCAAGATACTGAGCCCGCTCTGACTGATCCGCCGTATGTTGAACTTAAAACTGAAAAAGCTGGCAACCGTAGTGACACACAGGAGAATCAAACAGTCCGCGAAGTGATTGCTGACCCCGCTGTTGAAATTGTGGCCACGTCCGCCAGTGTACCTTCCGTGGATCTGGAGACTGAACCAAGTGATCTAGTGGAAGACGTCGTTAATTTAGATCCCAAGCCAGCAGGAGGAAGCTACTACGACGATGAAGTGTAACGTCATATTTCATCTTTCAAATTGTTTACCTTCATTACTTTGTAATTAAAATTATTTACACTCTTATTTTCGCCAATAAAAATGGCAGTGTTCAGTGTTTGACATATATATGACGCGGTGTTTATCGAACGACTTGTCATGGATTTGCTTTCACTCAGTTACCCCCCGGTACCCTCGTTCCGGTACCCTCGTTCCTGAAGGTTCCGGTTGAGTCACTCTAAAGCTAATTCTTTATATGTTTTTTCTATTTTTGGTTCCATAGTTTTTTTTTTAACATTCTAGAGTTTACTAGAAATATTATGAGGTCTTGGAAGTGCGTTTTAGAGTTTTCACTATTCAACATTTTAAAGTTCAAAATTACAAATCGGGATCTTGAGAAAATGACCTGCACAGTCTTAGAAACTGGCATTTTTTTGTATTTGTTATTTCATCGGAACTTTTAATTAACAATGATATCTCGGTCTGACCTTTTCTATCTCGTCCGTGAGCACTGAGACTCGTCTACACGAGCCTTAGCGCTCACATTAAGTCTCGTGTCATAAATGATGGTTGTGTTAATGATTATTAAGTGAGTGTTGATAATTAAGAGAAGGTAATGAATGGAAATGAGTGAGGGGACAGAAAATATGGATAGATAAAAAATAATTCGTTATAATGATATCACTGATAGTAATAATAGCTATCGTGATTTTCTTCTGTATCCAAGATGCAATTTAATTCAGGTGGACCACTGTAACTTAAGGTTTGGAAAATTCGTCACAGGGAACGCTACTCACATACGATTATATTTTGCTAAACTGGTTACATTACATAAGATAAATCTCGGTTGAGCGCAACCCAGATTTATGAGTGCGAAGACCATGGGTGCAGAAAATAATATATAAGCTCAGCTTCTGAAATGTATGAAACTTTTCTTCTCCCTAGAACTTAGATTTCTCGAATTCTTTTATTCTCAAATTAAGTAATTAAAGCATTGCGATGAAGCTTATGCTTTCTTTTGTTTTTAATACAGTCGACATGTTTAGGCAATAGCAGAGTTTGGAGCACACTATATATAGCTATATCCATTATCTCAATGCATTTCTAATTTAAGAGCGCTGGTAATCCTTTTGCATATCATGATAATCTGATGTTTTATATTCTAAGTTACACTTTTCGCTAACCTCTAAAATTAAAAGATATTGTTTATGTCGCAAATCATCACTTCGAACATGATTATCTATGGTGATAGGAACGAGCAAATAATAGGCGCTTATGGTATTTCTGTGCTAAGGTAAACGCACCTAATATAAAGCTAATTAGTCACCATAACAATTGTGAAAACCTTCTGGTCTCATAATTGTTATGATTTTGTTAATAGTTAATTGTTAAGCGAAAGGTTTCCTTCTGGAAGGCCTTTCGCTCTCTGATACCTTGTTTTGTAACAATTCAATATATAATACAAAGACAATAAAAACGCAATGCATAAATGATATAACACATTTAGTTTTGAATGAAAAATTGAAAAATAGTGTATGTTATAACATGCGCAAACGCCACTCTCTCATTATTTTTTGGTTTCGTTTTCTACTACCTCTAGTCTGGCGCAGGCTCCGCTGAAGAATGCATTGTACCGGATCTTGAACGAGTTGCAGAATGTCCTATCTACGCAGCTGCAGGATCCGGCAATAAATGCGCTGCTGAGCCGGTTGAAGAACCTGCTGACGAAGCCGTTACTGCGCCCAGAAATAAAATTTACACTGGACCGCTTGTTGAAGTTAGTGCCGGATGACTTGAAGAAACGAGTGCAGGAGAGACTGACAAACTTGCTGCAAAGCTCGACGTTGAATGAAAATCCAGGTGTTATGAACCAACCATCTAATCAAAAGCAGAACGGATGGAAGGACAATATCTTGAACCGCGTGATCGATGCAGTTTCCAACACTATATCAAACCAGCTGAAAAAACATGCCTTAAACCCCAATCAGACTCGACAGTCACACTGGCGTCCGGACAGGCTTAACAGGGCGAAGAACCGCATAGAGAATTGGCTGCAAGCAATGTTACAAAACTGGCACATGAACTGGCAGAAAGACCAACAACATGGTCGTCAAAACTGGCAGTGGGACCGCCAGGGGAGCCATCAACAAGAACGGCAAAACGGACGGCCAAATACTCAACAACGAAACTGGCAAGATAATAGGTCACGAGGCCGGCAATCACACCAGCAACAAGAGAGGAAAAACAATTGGCAAGATAACAATCCACAAAACCTGCGAGAACACCGGCAAGAAAACCTACGAGAAAGGCAAGATGAATGGAAGCGAAATCAGCAACACAACCAGCGAGATAATCGACTCCATGAAAGCCATCAAAACCGGCAGCAACAAAGACAACAAGCACGGCAGGAAAACCGGTCACGCGAACGGCAACAAACCCATCAACGAGATAAGCAACAACCCCGGAGACAAAACCGGCAACATAACCGACATACAAATCGGCAAGTACCTCATCAGAACATGCGGAATCGCAAACAGGAGAGACAATATGAGGAGCACCTAAACAGGCAACATGACTTTTCTCGACACAGTCAATATGATAGGCAAGAAGTCCGCTCACGGTACCCGCAACAAAGGCATCTACGAAACCTGGAGCTCAAGCGGCTGCAAAACCGGCAAAGGAGCTGGCAAGAACACAAGAATAAACACCAGGAACATGATTGGCAAGATGGGCAACACAACCAGTAGCAGAACAGGCAAGAGCACAATCAACTAAATCAGCAACAAAGGAAACATCACAATCAACAGTAATATCCGTCACAAAACCAGGAATGGCATCGTCAGCGAGGCCATGAGCCAGATTGGCAGTTTAGCTGGCCAGAGAGGCGGCTGCTGAACCAAGCTGATCACTTGGAGCACAGCAGAGCGGTTAAAAAAATCCTCGGTTCCTGTTGCGAAACGCCGATCGAACTACCTTATTAATCTTTAGATAAAACGTATTAAAAATTGTTTTTGACATATTCTGGAGGTTACAAAAGCATACTCAAGTCACATAAAGTTTCATATAGGTGAGAGCTGACATCAAGTTCAAAAAAACATTTGTAGTGCCGTGTATGGTGGATGCAGATTCTCCAAAATGAGACTTTCACCGCTGGCGTTGTGTACTTATAGTGTTTATAAAACCAGACAGAATTGATTAGGACTGTGCATGGTTAGAGAACAAAAGACTAATAACAAGAAAAGAGAGAGAATAAACGCATAATCACATTTCGTGAGGAAACTTAACTTTAAATCCTTACTCAATAGACCTATGGGCAGTTTTAGAGTTATTTAATAAGTGTGCTCTCTTTGTGATAATACTTCCAAAATAAATTATTTTTGTGTTTTAGTTGTGGTGTTCAGTAATGATATATATTGCAGAAGCAACCCAGCTCATGTCTCTCTTCATGGCGAACGTGTTGTCAGTAAGCGATTCCTTGATTGTAATCTAGAATCACTGTCTGTAAATCTCATAGCTCAGTGCAACCAGTAAAATCTTGCTTATAATAACGTATTAGTCGACTATAAATTAAATCGATTATTGTGTATTGCTTTGAACTGACTTGTGGACTATTTTGCCTCATCCACGTTGCTCAATGGGATTGTCAAAAACCCCACTGTAAGATCTCAATTTTTACGTACCTAAGGTTTGAAACACACGTTCGGAAATGTGAAAGAAAATCTCAAGAATGCGAAATATGCGTTACTTATTCAGCACTGTTTCGAAAACGCGAGAGTGTTGACTGCACAAAAAAATATCCATTACATCTTCGTTCACAGCATATGTGCGACTTCTAAATAAAGAATATTCCCGCAGAGTGCGTATTGTTTATGGAACGATGCTATCGTTCTGTTCCAAACTTCCGTAATTATCGGTTGTTTTTTCACACATGCCTTCGAGTCTTAAACCGCGTTTCACATGGTGTCGTTCTACTACCAATATTTGGTGTCGCACGGCAAAATTCCTGTGGATATGACACGCTCTCCAAGTGCCGTTCACGATTTGTTTTTCCGCACTAGAAGCAACGTTGACACCAAATTGCGAGCATTAGCGCAACATTTTAAACTGTCTTAAGCCGTTACAAGTAACGCGGCTCTTGAAGTTCGCAATTTCAAAACTACACTATAATTTATTATTTATCTTAGTCGAGTCAAACGAGGGAAAAAAATCAAATTGAGATAATGTCAGAAACCTCATGAAGTAGAGTTCATAATCTAACCACTCAGACGTGCACGCACTCATTAAACGTAATCGCAATAATGGTAATCGATTACAACTGAGATTAATTGTCTAATTACTTTATTAAATTAGTTAGAAAGTGATCGCAAAAATAGTTGATTAATTTGGGAACTACTTAAATTACTTGTAACTCTTGCTATTTTCCCCTTCTTTTCTTAATGGCGCGATTCGTTTGTACAAGTTTTCTATCATGGAATCCTCAAACCAAGTGTCCGCCGATAGGAGGATGATTTACCGAAATTGGTGGAGTAAGAATATAAGCAGTTCATTATCGGGTGATTACAATCCAAAAGTGGACGTTACGAAAGGCAATCCCTTTCAAATCTGAAAAAAAAAAACATTTTTGTTCTGAACATGTGAAAAGATCGAAAGTAACGGTAACTTTTTCCGAGTAACACCCCATAACTTTTCTTCTCGGGTAATGAAATAATCGCTTTTATTTCTTTTTAACCGAGGGCAATTGCAATTGTAATAGATTACTTTTTTTCGAATAGCGTTGTGGGTCGGTCGCCGATACTGCCAAATCCCGACGAGTACCGTTCGCCCCCAAGAAAACCACAAGGGCCAATTTCTAGCATCAGGTAATACTTAATGGTTCTTAGGTGATTCCTTGTCCGCTCGCGGCCCGGGTAGTGGGGAAATTACTAACTGCGGTTCCTCGACCTCTCGTCATGCTTGGTTCTGCGAGCGAGGTCGTCCGTGCGTGGCCTCTGCTCCGCTGCTCCGCTTTGTACGTGTTCCGCCAATCGCGCTCGATCACTGAATGACTGATCGGTCTGTCTCGCCCGCCCGCGCACGCGCTTTTCCTATGCTCGAGCCCCCTCCTTCCGCGCCCCCGTCTTCTTCATCCTCCCCACTTCCACTCCTCAAGCCTGTAAACCCGGGGGCTTAGGAGCATCCGGAGTAATAGGGCTGTTGTTAAAACGCTCCTCAAGCTCGTTGATCTCCGCGTCGCTGATGGTGGTGGACGCCGATGGGGCCGCAGTTGTTGCACGGGGGGCCGGCACCGGTGTGACCGGTGTGCGTTCAGTGGAGGGGCTGAGCACCGGGTCTCCGTCGACGGCTCCGTCGACAAGCAGTTGGTCCGGGTCAGGACTGCGGCTTCCTGTGACTTCGTCAATGCCGAGAGCCGCTAAAGACAGGTCTGGCCGATCCCGACGAAGCAGCTGTATTTGCCGCCGCGACGCAGGCGTGGTGGCCCATGCTCTTCAAGAGATCGATATGTCTGCGGCTGGCCTCATGGGTGTCCTGGTGGATGACCGCGACCTGGCACAGCCAGCAGGCTTCTGGATGGTAGAAGCGGGGCAGCGTATGCCCCTGGAAGGGCCGCGGGACATAGATGGCCACTTGAGACAAGTTCGGTCGGGGCTGGTTCCGCCAGTTCACCCTCGGCACAAAGTGGACAGCCCTAGGACCTCTTGGGCTGTCCAGATGACTACTACAGTGTGGCGAGAGGGCTTGCGTCGAACTGCTTTCCTAGGCGAAGACAGGACCACTCTGCTTCTTAGGGTCGAGTCTCGTGTGCCCCCCTGGTCCCTCGGACAACCCCTTCGCCGCCCTGCCTCTGTTGACGTAGTCGAGGTCGGCATTGTTCATCCCGCCTCTGCCAACCAGGTTGACCACCCTGACGGTTGGTCCCGTTGGTTCCTAGCTGAAGGCGTTGGTCATCCCTTGAGTTCGGTAACCTGGCCCTCTACTGGGGAGTGCTGAGCAGCCTATGAGTTTGTCCGGCTGCCACCGCCGGTGTCCAAGGAGGTTGATAATCGCCCTTCCGAATGGCACCTCGCATTCTGGTTCCTCTGGGGGGAGAGAGGCATTCATGGGCAGAAAAAGCTGCATTAACATCTAAAAAATATCAGATCAAATTCTACGCCGCAGATTATAACGCCGTGCACAGCCCCAGCTACCACGCTCAGGTCGCGTTCCTTGTCGCGCGCGTGGACCACCCGTATAAGATAATTCCCCGTTTTGTGCGGTACGTTCTCCTTCATCGTCATCGTAATCACGAAGATTGTACTATAGAGGCTTGTAGTGACGGCAACGTCTTCCCCGCAACACGCTCTCCCGAGCAGCGGAGGAGGCTGGCACGCACCGGGGATACCCGACACCAGCTCGGGGGGCCCGATGCGGGCCAGGCGGCCAGGCCTCCGTCAGGGTATACGAGACAACTCAAGTCGCCCCACGACAAGAGGGGCGAGAGGAGAAGAGGGCAGACACCTCACGAGCAGCGCCCGGTTAGGACGCATGAGCATCCCTCGGAGTTTTAATATCGTTATTCTTGTGTAATCCTTCAGAAAATAAAACGTGTTCAGTAGAACATTATTTGTATCTACATTACTTTTCAGGTCTGTGATATGGACCGGGACAGACTCTTCGTTCGTATTTTTCCAAGCGAGTCTATAGGTAAGATGTGACACTCGTGCCTTTACACGTGAATCCCTTCCCACTTTGAAGCAAGTGAGGCTGCGAAACCCCTCGCTGCGTTGCTCAAAGAATAGGCTATCCTCAAAACTAGGTCCCCCATCTTGTATTCCAGGGGGTGATGATTCTTATCGTACTGGGCCGCCTGTTCGATCCTTGCGGCATCAAGATTCTCTCTAGCGTGGTGCAACGCATTCAACTAACAAACTTTCAACTCCGCCGTGTACTTAGAGGGTGGGCGATCTGTTGGACCTTGGTCATTTTGTAGCCCGTTCTCCAGCGGAGACGTCACTTCCTTACTCAAGTTAAGAAGCGCAGCCGTTACCCAATCGATTTGTTCATGGTCGTCCGGATTACAAACCCTATCTCGACAATGTGTTCGTCCCAGTCTCTGTGGCTCTCTGTTAGCGCAATCAGCATGCACTTCAAGTTTCCGTTCACTCTCTCAGTGGTAGTAGCCTGAGGCTGGTATAATGTCGTACTTCTGTGCTTTATGTTCATCACCAAGCAGGAGTCAGTGCACATACTGCTAGCAAAACAACTAACATTATCGCTAATGAGACATGTGGATGTGCCAAAACACATGAAAGTTTGTAACAAGTCCCAGTTGCGCTCCGAAACCAGCTTCCTCAGTGGGTGTAACTCCACCTATTTTGAGAAAAAATCGGTTGTCGCTAATAAAAGCTGGTTCCCACGAAGACTCCTTGGTAATGTGCCGATGATGTCACAAGCGACCATATCCAAAAGGAGGGTCTTACTACAGGCTGCATAAGACCCGGGGGCTTTTTCCCATCTCGGCTTCGCTTTCTGGCAGGCTGGGTAGCTACGGGCGTATCGGAGTGTGCCTTTCCTCATCCCAGGCC